CCCCCGCTATACGCAAATCACCACATGACGGACGATCTGGTTAACCGAGGATCTTAAATCAGATTTTGTTGAATTTTTTTAATTTATGATGCTTTGAGCGGGAAAGCCAAATGGACGCTTTTAAAGGGCCTGTGATGTGAGGCCCATGTTGGGGATAACTAATGACATGGCTAGTAAGCTTGGACACCGTTTTTGCCATGACAAGCGGTGGTAATGTTGCTAACTTTTGACAGCTGCACAGCGTAAAAGGATGACACCTGCATGTGCTAATCTGATGAAGGCTTAAACAACAGTGCGACGTTTGTTAAATGTATGTAATGGAGTACACCGTTTTTGCCATGACAAGCGGTGGTAATGTTGCTAACTTTTGACAGCTGCACAGCATAAAAGTATGACACCTGCATGTGCTAATGTGATGAAGGCTTAAACAACAGTGCGACGTTTGTTTCAATGTATGTAATGGAGCAGGCAAGATGAGTGTAAATCAGTCAGTGCAGTAGATTCTTGGCTTTCTGATTTGGCCCATCTGGTTTTGACTGGGATTAACAGGTGGGCATACGTGATGTTTTACAGGGTAGTATTTTTTTCGGGCTTTTCCTGTTTCAAATCGAGACAGAGATGGTACCATCCTGAATATTTGCACGCTCCTGTACCCTTTATTGAGTGGCATTTTCTTTTTCTATTGTTGACTTGTGGATAGCAAGACCCCAAGATACTTGAACTCTTCCACTTGGGGCAGCATCTCATCCCCAACCTGGAGAGGGCACGCGACCCTTTTCCGACTGAGGACCATGGTCCCAGATTTGGAGGTGCTGATTTTCAAGCCAACTACTCCACACTCTGCAGCAAACCGCTCCGGTGAGAGTTGGAGATCACGGCTTGAAGAAGCCATCAGTACCACATCTGCAAAAAGCAGAGTTTCAATACTAAGGCCACCAAAGCGGACTCCCTCATCACCTTGGTTGCACCTGGAAATTCTGTACATGAAGTTATGAACAGAATCTGTGACAAAGGGCAACTTTGGTGGAGTCCAACCCTCAGTGGAAACTCACCCGACTAATTACTAGCAATGGGGGCCAAGCTCTGCTGCAGGGACCGGACAGCCTGCATTAGAGGACCTGGTATCCTGTACTCCCAAAGCATCCCCTCATAAAACTCCCCGAGGGAAATAGCCGAACTTCGACCTCCACCTCTGGTCATGAGCTGTGGTTCGTGACCGAACGAACAAGATTCCGGATGCGTGAGGCTGAAATGAGTTTCCTCCGCAGGGTGTCCGGGGCTCTCCCTTAGAGATAGGGTGAGAATCTTGTTCTTCCAAGAGGGACTCAAAGCCAAGCTGATGCTCCTCAACGTTGAGAAGCCAGATAAGGTGGCTCGGGCATCTGATTAGGACGCCTCCCTGGTGAGGTGTTCCAAGCCTGTCCTGCGGTCAGAAGGCCCCGGGATGACCCAGAAGACGCTGGAGAGACTTCCGGCTGGCCTGGGAATGCCTTAGTATCCCTCCGGAAGAGTTATCTGGCTGGGAAGAGGGAAGTCTGGGCTTCCCCGCTGAAGCTGCTGCCTTCGTGACCTCACCCTCGATTAGTGGTAGATGAGGGATGGATGGATAGTAGTCATGTTTTGTCGCTTTGAGGCAGGGGCCACCAATGTGTGTGTGTCTTCACAGAAATGAGTATTGTTTATTTTCATAATTATGAGTGGTAGATGAGGGATGGATGGATAGTAGTCATGTCTTGTCGCTTTGAGGCAGGGGCCACCAATGTGATCAAATGTCTTCACAGAAATGAGTATTGTTCATTTTCATAATTATTATTATGAAAGACATTTTGACCAAATTTGTTATTTCAGAAGAGTTAATCGCATCGGTAGCCCTTCGTATTAATCAGTACCCAAGGAGAGTAGCTCTCAGTTAAAAAAAAAAATGTTGGTTGCTGGTGTTTCAAAATGGTATCTTGCTTGTCGTGCAGCAAACAGTGTTTGATAAGTGGGGGCACAATGCATCTCGTGTACATTACAAAGCAAAATGTACTTTGCTTTGTATGTCGGAGCCAGGTGAATTTCAGCCACTACGTAGCAAAGTCGCTGGGTCTCAAAAATGTTTTTTTTTTTATTTATTTATTTTTGGACTGTGGACAAAGTAGAGAAAATATTGATTTGATGTCACTTTTCAACGTTATTAGTCATCTTAGAAATAATATAACTTGCACTTTCACAACTGAATCCCTTCAATGTCACTGGTCCACTCCATGTCATGAGGCTGACTACTTTCGGAATTGACAAATAGCCGGATCCAAATCTCATCAATAACATGAACCCTTTGACGTCATTATAAATCATCTGTGTTGACCACACACAAAAGCATTTGCCATTGTAAATACATATTTAGCAGGTGTAACATTTACCATCGTCGGCTCCGACATCCTTTTACTTCCTTTTCAGTTCGGCAGTGGTTAAGATTTTTTTTTTACCCTGCCAGTGGATAATATTCCACCAAAACGTCTCTGCTTGATGTTTTTTGGACTTCTCAAAATGTGGATTAAGTCCCACCGCAGCGCTGAAGAAAGCATATTTACACCAGCAGAACCTGTAATGCACATTCCTGAATCCATTAAGACTTGGGTTTGATTAATTTTATTCTGTGTTGTCGTTTTATAGTTTAGATAGACATATTAATAATCGTGAACTAAATTCTAGCTAGCATTGTTTTGAGCAGGCCCAATGTTTGCCAACGGTATTAATTTTTTTCTAATTACCGTATAATTTTCAATTACATTTTCAATGAGAATAAATATAATCAAATGAAACCCCTTTTTAACATTCTGGTTTTATTTAATGGCTTTTTTTGATTACTTTTAATCTTTTGATTTACATTTGCCATTGTTTTCCTAATTCAGTTCAATGAGAACCGCTGCAAAGAGTTTCACCAATCGCCGCCCTCCATTCATTTTGGATAGACTGCAAGCACTCTCACTAATGATCACGCCTAATTCCATCACCATCATCCTTTAGCTGTTCTTAATAGACCCATTCAGAAGATTCATATTTAATGCACTCGCATATTCGAGTTGTTGAAGCTAAACGTGCCTGAATGCTTGTGCTGAACAGCTTTCCAGCAGAACATCCCTTTCAACGTCTGCTACCGGTCTGCAGATGGCAGTGTTGCTCAATGCTCATTCGACTTGCCAGCCTTCACCAAATAGACAAAAGTATTGGAACAACTGGCCATCGTCACGAAGTCTGATCACTTCTTAATGACAAGAGCAGTTTCCACTCCAACATGGAAATATCTTCGTTTCTTCCAAACAAGGTTTCTGCTGGTGGTTCTTCTACGTACAACCTACAGACGTTGCGTTGTCTTGCTGGAACATTAAATGATCATCACCAAACTATTGTTTCTTCCAGATAGTTGGAAGCATACAATAATTGTCCAAAATGTCATAAGATGACACATTAAGATCAACGGGGGAGGCTGTCCATTAATTGACAAGGAGGCACGTCTCAAAACTTTTGACCACACGCTGTGCTCCAACCTGCGCCGACTGAGATTTTGTAGCCTGTTAATATTCATTCATATTCAATGTTTTGATTTAACTGCCTTTCGACTGATGCTGACTTGAGATTCCTCACAGAATGAGGCAGTGGAATAAAACATCACCCCATCCAGCATGAGTAACCTTCACAGGTTTTCGCATACTTCAAAAAGACATCCTTCCCACTATTAAGAACTGAAGTCCCATTATTGAGAAGGCGTCTCGAAATGGACAGGGAAGGTGACACACTCATTGCCTTTTCAGCCAAGTGAAGATGATTGTCGACCCGAGTGGCTTGAACATAATCGAAAGCAGTAATCGAGACAATGACAATGCACTTGTTGAGGTTAATGGATTGTGTTGCTTTAAATTGGGGGCAAAATATTTGGCAACTCAATTTGTTCTGTGACACGTCATTCTAATTCTAGCAATTTCTCCCATAGGAAATAACAGAGGGAATTGTTTTGTTGTTTGTTCTTGAATAGAGTTTTGTACAAACCGTTATAAACTCTTTTTATTTTATTTTATTTTTTTGTTCACTAAATAGTATTTCAAAGTCCCTGTAGAGGGAAAACAAAGTTGTATTATGAATTTAACACACCACAGAGTGTTGTGAACAAGTCTGCCAAATTTGAATGCAAAAAAAAAAAAAAAAAAAAATCATGAAATATTTCAAATGAGGCTCCTGAATCGGGAAAAATAGAGACCTACTCCCAGCTGTCAGACGCTGCGGTCGTGTTCACTGAATGTGTTGAAAACAACCTCCGCTCGACTCTTACCAGTCTGTCAAACCCGTTAGTACAGTATGTGTTCAAATTTTTTTTTTTTCGTGTGAGCCACACGTCGAATAACATCCGCCGATCTATTTAATAAACTGTTAACTTTTTCTGAAGGGTCGGTCATATGGGACCCACACACAACATACAAGCGAGTGAGATGTTTGCCGGTTTGCCGGCGGGCTAGCCGTCACCGGCTCACTCGCTTTTGTGTCGTGCGGGCAGGAATTTGCGGGGCTGGAGTGATGCGGCGATCGCCTCAGGCAGCCATGGAATGGCAGCCAATCGATGAAACGACTTCTGCAGTCAGCGAGATTTCTTATGCCGGGGTATCCACCAGATGCATGTGAACCAAATAAGTCTCTTCCCCTTACTGAGCCCGACTGAGTTAGTCTCACAAGATGTACGTGTTACTTAATGCAAGGTTTAATCTGCCTTTTGAGGCGTATTTCAGAACATAGTGGTGGAACTCCAAATTGTGTCAGTTGTTGTGTGTTGGACTTCTGAAGTTACGCTTTCGTTTTTTGGGCTCATAAAGAACTTTTGATGCAGCAAGAGCACTGACATGTCTGTCTTCCTTTCAGGTATATCCAGCTATGGATATAGACGGTGCCAGTTCGGTGGTGCTCAAGACTTTAACCCAAGCCACCAGTCAGGACACGGCCATGCTGAAGCCCGCCGAGGAGCAGCTCAGACAGTGGGAGACACAGCCCGGCTTCTACTCGGTTCTCCTGGTGGGCAAGACTTTGAACAATTACATTTGAATTTGACATTTTTATTCGGGTCATTTCCTTCATTTTTTTTAAATGCACAAAATATGGGTAATATGGAGCTGGATTGGGGTAAAAAGGACTCTGCAAATGGGGAAAAAAAAAACATCAAAATGTTGACATATTTGATTACTGATCAGGTTCTTGCTGAGTGTTATATTTTCTAGCCATGTCTATCTCTCCAGAGCAGTCTCGGGTGTCAGCAAACCACAAGTTACACACAAATTTTTATCAGGTTATTTTTCATCTGTTTGTGGTCAAGTTAACGTCATATGTTTTGATATTCTAGGCTGGTTTTCAGTGTCTATACATATAAAGATGTACAGGATCTGCCTCAGGTGATGTCATCCAAATTGTTTCACTTGCCTTCATTTTTCAATGAAGCTATTGCTGTTTGATTTGGCAATATCCTTTTTTTCTGCTCAATATTGCTGCTTTCTGAGCTTGAAAATTTGAAAATAAAACCTAAATTTTTCATCTGATACTGATCAGCTGAAAATGTTGATAGCGGAACAACTCTTATTTCCAACGCTTGTATTCAGTGCATTTGTATCTGGGCAGGTGTTTTTGGATACGAGTCATCAATCTTTGTGGCTGCACCGGATTTGCATTGGTCGATGTTTTATACGCATCTGATTTTTTTCTTTTATCCACATTTGGAAGAGGCTTTCATTCCGATCTTAAGTGACTCGGTTCACTCGGGAGCCCCAAAAACGTGTCACTTGAACCATAGAGTGTAAGCCCAATCTTCATCCGCCGAATCAGATGAAGTTGTATTGTGATTTGTTGTGCCTTTGTAGAACCTTCTTGATCCGGCTGAAACGTCACTTCGGTTTGCTACCAACACTCCTTATTTGAGTTTTGCAAAATTAACGGAGGAAATGTATGCCTTCCCCTCTCTTAGAACATCTTCAATAACCATATGCTGGATGTGAATGTCAGATGGCTGGCAGTACTCTACTTCAAAAACGGCATTGACCGATACTGGAGGCGAGTGGCCCCGCAGTAAGTACACGTTTTCACCTTTTAATGCCTCCCTTGCCGTTGTTTCTTTGCCACAGTCTTTATTTCATTCGTTTTATTGCCATTGCTCTCATGTTTGTTTTGGTGCCATTTTCCTCTTACGGCTCTCTTATGTGTATTGTGCCTTATTGCTGTCTTTACTGCTCTAGCTTGTGCTTTCTCTCTGCCCATCCTCCCTAATTCTTTACTGTATATATTCATATCTCCCAAACTTTTTTTTCTTTTTAATGCATGCTGATCTGTGTGGCCTTTGAGCTTTCACTCAGCCCCATGTGTCTTAGGTTGCTTGATGAGATGACCAGTTGGATTTGAATAGAGCGTCGGTCCATAAATTCACAGGACAGCATCAGGCCCGAGGTCTTCAGTTCTGCCTCAGCAATCTTTGTCTTTGGCCACTTTGTTTCTCGCCGCTGTTTTCTTCCTCTCCACAGTCTCCCCCTCCTCCTCCTCCTCCTTCTCTGACCAAGTTTGTTTTGCACCTGTCAGTAGTTTAGTGAGGTCACTTTCATTGTTTGGAGTGCTGTGTCGGGGTTTTTTACCACCATGTAATTTGATTACCATCAGGCTCATTGCCATGAATTGAAAAGTACAGCGATGCCCGATAAGGCACGATGGATGTGGTGTCACCGTACAAAGCGTTAGAAGGTTGTAGAAGGCTTCTTTTTGGCTCTCGGGATCACTGAAAGACAAAGTCAAAGAAAACGTTAATCGTTTCCATCATCACTTGACCAAGTTTGGGTTGTTTTACAAATTTTATAACTGTCAGAGCATTTGAATGATTCCACTGTTTGTGTATTTTTCACTGTCCTTTACTTCATACCTGCGTGTGGACTCGATTGTTCCAAGTCCCTGGTTGCCCCATTGATGATGTATATTTTAATCTTTTGCACATTGCCAGCATGTGACCAAATCCTCTTTTATCTAAGCACATACCAAGGCACTGGAAATTGTTCCACCGTCCGTATTTACCTCCTTCTCCTCACTTGGTTTGCTCAGTGACGCATCGTTTCGATCATCAAGCACTCCTCTGCTCCATTAAGCCTCAGCTGCAGCTTAAATCTACAGCTTACGTTTTTTTTTGTCTGTGTTTTACTAATTCAGTGCACACAACAGCTATGGCAAGAGCATCAGCTGCAATTTTTTTTTTTTATCTGCAAGACGTTTCAGGTAGAGAGGACTTATAGAAGGTTGGCTCTGGCTGTTGCTATACAAGGATTTGAATTCATCCCCTAGCATCTTAGTAGACCCTGCTTCATATTTCTGTTTAGACTTGTAGATTCCAAATAAAGTCCTAAAAACTCTCCCAGAAGTCTGGCGTGCTTGCTGTCCTCACAATGCAGAAGCTCAGCTCTGCAAAGCACTGCCATCTTGCAACTCGGATCTCTCAGGGATTTAAAATATGACATTATCTTGGCGCTCTCAGATGCAATTTTTTTTTTCTTCTGAACATGCCTTCTGCTTCTTTTGCCAGCGCTTTATCAGAGGAGGAGAAGACCACATTACGTGCTGGTCTCATCACAAACTTCAACGAGCCTGTCAATCAGGTTAGTGATTTCTAACACTCCACCCTGCTGTCTGGCCCTGAGGGTGGACTTCATGAAAGAACCTCATAGGGAAATTCTGTCTCAAATTTTGATGACATTCTGATTCTGAGGCAGGTAGCATATGTAGAACACTGATTGTCTTCCCTTTACAACACCCACAGCCAGAGGTAGGAAGCGAGACTTGTTTCTTCTTTCTCACTTCTTTTTGGAATTATCACATGCAGTAGGAGAGCAAAGCAAAGGGTCAATGCTAACTCATTCATCCATCTGTCAATTTTCTATGGCATTTACTTCGGCCGTGGGTAAACCGGAGTCCGTCCCAGTCTCAGGGCGAGAGGTGTGGTACATCCTGTACATCCTGAACTGATCACTTGTCAGTCTTTTGCCAGATTCCACAAACGTATTTGTGTTGATTTGAAAAGAACACATGGATTGCAGTTCAGTCTGCAAACAACATTTGGGGGAAATATGCCTTACATGCCATATTATCATATAATGGGACTTCAGTGTGACCTCATTCAGCAATCATTAAAGGATCAGCTCTACATTTAACTTTAGATTTTTCATTTGGCTTTTGGATGGAAAATGGATGAATGGAGGAAAATGTATGTGAGTCAGGAAGAATACTTTAAGATGATGTAGACTGCTACGTTAGCTTCTTCCAGGAACCTCCGACTTGCAAGCTGTCACTTAGTCATCGAGGTAGCTGTTGTTATGTTTGTGTTTTTGCTTTAGTTTTCTTCACAAATGTGATAAAATCAGAGGTGGACCACTGTTTATCATCATGAAGTTTATATATATATATATAT